CCCCGGCCCGGCCCGGCCGCCGCACCCCGCCCCGGCCGGCCCCTCTAGCATGGTGCGGGGCCGCCGCCGCCTCGTCCTCCTGCTGCCGACATGGGCGAGAGGCTGGAGCTGCGGCTGAAGTCGCCCGTGGGAGCCGAGCCCGCCGTGTACCCCTGGCCGCTGCCCGTCTACGTGAGTATGGCCCGGCCCCGCACCTGCCCCGCGCCCTGTCAGCGCCCCCGGCCCTGCCCCGGCCCTGGCACCGGCCGGGCGATCCCCGAGCRCCGGCCCTTCCCGGGATCCGTCGGGATGATCGCCCCCCGTGCGGGAACCCCCCCCGGAGCCCCGGCCCCGGGTGCCGCCGCTGCTCGCCTGGAAGTCAAATCCCCAATTTCATTTTATAATTGGTTGACTAAACCGAAGGGCGGGGAGGAGGAGGACTGGTTAATGAAAAGTTTTTCGTGTTTTCCTCGCGCTGGGCTCGTGTAACTGGTTAATAACCGGTGCTGCTGCGAGCCGGGTGGAATCCAGGGATTCTGGATGGGGAATAGCGCTTTAATTATGGATGGCCTCGGGTGGTCGGGGGGACCCCCAGGAGCAGCCGCAGGGTGGGAATAAACAGCGGCCAGTCGTGGTTGTGGGTCTGGAGGCAGCGCCGGTGTCGCGGGGCTGCTGCCAGTTCCCCTCTAGCCGTGCCCTTGGAGCTCCCCTTTTATTTATCCCGAGCAGAATCCAAGCCAGCCGCAATCCTCGTGCTTCCAAATAAAATGTCACTTGTCCTTGCGTAGCTACCGAGCGGCGTTTTCCCTTAACTTGCCTGACTTTCTCCCGAGCCCGGGCGAGCGATGTGTGACCTTGATAACAATGTCCATGTTCAAATTAGCGACAATCCCACGAGAGCCGAAAGGCTCCGGGGAGGGTATTTTTGGATGCGTGTAGGCTTCCTATCAACCCTTCAACAATTCCTCTCCCTAACTGCGTGCAGCCCCYCGGCGCACAGTTTGCAAAGGCAGAACCTCTCTCTATATGTTTACTTGGCGCAGACACTGTTGATTATCCCTGCGTTCCCGGCTGTGCTGTTGTACGTGAGCCGCTTCCCGGCGAGAACACGCTGGGACGCACAGGCTGGGGCAGCTGATACTGCTGATGTTGTTGCTCGCTTTGGCAACCGCTTGTGTGTGTGTGAGCGATTAGGAATATCTCGCTCGTGGCGGAGCGGGGGGAGACGGCTGCCTGCTCCTATCTGCCGCCTGCCTTTCGGGGGCTGCTGCTGGAGCCGTGCCTTTCCAAAACATCCTCCATCCGTGCGGGCTGGCGTGCTGTTGCCGGCGTGTCTCCCAGCACACACTGGTTCAGCGCAGCCTTTCCTGTTTGGGCAGCTCTGTCAGTGTTGGCGGGCGCGCGCTCTGCTCAAATTGTCAGAAACTGAAAGTACAAGCGATGACCGGCTTCGCTTTTTCTCGCCAAATATTAACTCGTGTCGTTACCCTCCTCCCGCCCCGCGGCCCGAGCGGGTTGTGTGAAGCGGAGGTTAAAGATTACGCGGRATAGGGATTAATGTGGAAAGGAGGAATGGTTTTATGTCCGTTCGTAGAGATTCCTACAGGCTTAAAAACCAAACCCCCCACCCTTTATTTTAGGGGTGAAACGTGTGTTTTGCAACACGAGAAATAAGGATTTAGTTGATTTGGGAAAACTTGAGCAGCTGGTTCTGAAGATGGCAGAATAAATCGGATTTCTCTCAGTTGATCAGAAATACGGTGGACGGGGTGGGGGGGAGTGATGGGGGAGCTGAGAAATACCACAAACCCCAAACATCCTGCCATTAAACCATCCCTTGGCGCTGCCAGCTTCTCCACGGTCATTCCCGAGTGGATGCTCCACCTGGAGCCGAGCAGCATCGCTCCCCGCAGCCCCGGCGTGCTCGCACACACGCACTCAGCGGCGCTGCCCGCGGCTCCAGCTCAAGCCCGGGGCTCTGCAAACAAATCCCCGTGGCCGCGGCARGGCTTGGCCTGCTGACATCGTGCTCTGCTGAACTGCGGCCGCGCTTTCCCCGCGCTGGCGCGGCCCCGAGCTGCTGCGAGAGCTCGGCTCGCTTTGACGTAAGCACAACATTTCTTAGTTTCACCGCTCGTGGTTCCGAGGAAGCAAGGTGGGATAGCTGAGGGCAGGGAAAATAAAAAAAAACACCCCACGCTTCAAGGAGTTTTATTTAGCAGCGTTCTGGCTTCTTCCTGTTGGCCACCGTGAGATGTGTTTTCCCAGGAGAGCTGGAGGGAGAGGGGAAGGGGAGCACTGGGTATTTTTGGTGGGAGAGGCACGAGTAGCAGGGAGTCATCTTTCCCAACATCCGAGGCTCTGTAGTGTGAACCTGCTGTGTGCCCGGGCTGTGTGGTGTGATGTAACCCTGCCTTGAGTAACTTGGCTATTTTTATGCTCTTACTACATCTTAAATTAGCGGTGTCGGTGTTGCTGCGTAGAAGGCTGATCTCTCCCATTAATGGACGCCTGCATTAATACCGTGGCTCTTTATTGCTGGGCTGCCGCATATTTTCGTGTATAATAGGAAAAGTGGGGTCTCTCCAGACTGCTGAGTCCGGATAATAGCCCGCCTGACAACCCGGCGCTTGTTGGGATGCTAAAAGAGCCGGGGAGGCTGATGTGAAACATGTATTTCCCTCCGAGTCTAATTAGGGCCGTGGGAGGAGAGAGAGCGGCGGTGGTGGTGCAGCTCCAGCCTCCCACTGGCTTCCACACAAAACTGAAAGTGCGGCTCCTTCCCCCGCCTTCCTCCGCCTCAAAGGAAAGGCCACGGTGCCCTAATGAAGCCGTGGTGAGCCGTGCTGGCCGTGCCACACTGTGATGAGTAAGTTGAATAGTGCATGGTGAGTAATCTCTCCTCATGACTCACAAAATATTTTCTGATGTTGACCTCTGTTTTTGTGACTGCCCCACTTAATCAGAGCTGAAGTGAGTGTACTCTTTTGTGTGCTGGTTAACTCCTCGGCTCCCMCGTACCTGCCCCACTTTTTGCCCGTGCCAGATTGTCAAGAGAGTAGGGGTACAATGTTAAAATTTAAATTTTGATACTAGGAAAGATACAGGCCTGGATAAAAGCAGTATTTGGGGGAGAGTTAATGAATCCAAACAAGCTGCCGCTGGTGGAAGGTGGCATTTTTAGTCATATTTCAAGTATTGCTAAGCACAACTTGGTACTCATTACTTTGATCTGAAGGATACAGGGGGTGTTTTAAGTTTTAAGGCTCACAGATATTAAACTTTTTCCCCAGATAATTTTTCTCAAAATGGTTCATTCTCTTGTCTCTGACTTCTACTATAGTTAAATCTGAATATGGATTMGGTTTAAATATGGAGATTTTTCGTTTTGTGCCACAATAAGCTCTGCCTGATGTGTGAGCTGTCTCAGGTTGTACTTTGAACTCTTGACAAGTTCCTGCTTACAGTCGAAGCCTCTTGTGTGTGGGGGAGGGAGAAAAGGGTGGGGGTTTGTGGGGTGGGTCAGCTCTACAGTCTGGTGTGGCAGGGTTCTGCTGAAATATCTGTGGGATTGCTGGCACAGACAGCTGAGCAACAGGAGGCTCAGRGCTGCTGGAGCTGATAATTGTCCCCCAAATCGACGTTGGCTGGGCTGCACCCTGTTGCAGCACAGAGCTGGTGAATGTGGAAAAGCCTGTTTGCTGTCTGTCAGAGAGAGGAGGACACTGTGTTTCATTCATCTCCTCCCCTTCAGGCCTGCTGGGGTTGGCAGGGTGATCCCAGTGTCAGTGTGACACGGGGACAGGAGGCACAGGCAGGTGACGAGGCTGTGCAGGGCTGTTGTGGCACCGTGTCCTTCTCCCCTGCTGTCGTGTTCAATATTGTGAAGATCCTTTCCAGTTTCACAATGAAACATCTGCCTGTGCTGCTCTGATCCCTGCTGGGTGGCATTCCCGTGGAAGGTGGCTGTGTCTGTGTGTGCCAGGTTTTTATGGGTTGTGCTCCCCCTGCCCTGTTTGGCTTGTGAGGGCCAGGGGTTGAGTYGTGGCAGAACCTGGGAACTTCTGCAGCCTCTGGGGGTCCCAGCAGGGTTTTGCTCTGGGTGTAGGATCAAAGAATCATGGAATGGKTTGGGTTGGAAGGGACCTTAAAGCTCATCTTGCTCCACCCYCTTCCACCATYCCAGGGTGCTCCAAGTCMCATCCAAACCTGGCCTTGGACACTTTCAGGGGCAGCCACAGCTGCTCTGGGCACCCTGTGCCAGAGCCTCCCCACCCTCACAGCCAAGAATTTATCTTCTGCCCTATTTACCATATGGTAATACCATTTCTTTGTCTCCKACCAATTTTGTTCCCTTCTTCCAGCCTTTCACTCTGTCCCAGGAGTGGACAGTCCTGACTGTGTCACTGTGCACATTTTACCAGCGTGAGGTGCCTCTGCCCTGAGCTGCTGGAGCTTAAACCTCCAGATTAACACTTGTGATGAGAAGTCTGGCTTGAATAATTAATTTATTTGTCTGTGTTCCTCCTCGTGGCTGCTGACTTTCCACTCAGCTGCAATGGCAGGAAAATTCTTATTTTCTAATTGAGTGTTGTCAGAGCATCACCCTGGAGGGCTGTGATGGCTGCTACTGGGAGTAATGGGATACAAGCTTCTTACTACTGGATTTTGTACAGGTGGGAGGGTGCAGAGTGTGGGTTTAGGTTTCCTTTCCCTTCTCTCTGCTGTCGTGATCCAGCTGATACCATTCTGTCACCAAAGGAATGTGCTGTGCAGGGAGACCTCAAGGGCAGGGAGTGTTAATGAAAATCACAGCCCGGCGGGGATTGTCACCTTTGAAATTAAAGATCAACGGTGGAGATGAATAACAAACCTTGTTTGAGAATTTAATCCTCTTTTTTATGTGTGTGTCACTCAGCTTTCCTGGGAAGAATTTCTCTGATGCCTGGCCTTGGCTTCCCAGGCGGGTGTGGGAGCAGTTCAGTGCCATGGAATGGTGCTGTAGATGGATTTGGGAAGAACCTAAATTGAACCTAAATTATTCCCTTGGGGCTGGAGCTGCTGAGGATTGTCCTGTCCCTCCTGCCCATCCTGTCCTTATTCCATACCCCTCCTGCGGGATGAGCTGTTGAAAACACATCTTGCACGTGTTCCTGGTTTTTCCGCAGGATCAGCCCACGCTGGAGGGGGAA